ATGGCGAAGTGGTTAAAGGACTATTTAAGTTTTGGGAGCAAACGAGTTCCCCCGCAACCTCCGAAGCCTGATTACACGGAGAGTGAGATCTTGAAGGCGTATCGTGCCCAGAAGAATCTAGACTTTGAAGACCCTTATGAAGACTTTGAGAACAGAGGTAGAAATGACAACGGATCGAATGAAGTGTCTCACACAGGCTTCGGTTCTCCCATGAAATCCTCAAGTTTGGATATCAAAGTTGTCTCGCCGAAGCATCGACTCATAAAAGTGGATTCGCAAGACCTGGGACGGAGCAAGATTCTCCTGAGCTCTGTGTCTTTAGAGGAACCGACAGATCCGGTGAGTTGATAAATCAAGTAATTGCCAATTGTTTTGTGATTTTTGGATCATTTGTGTTGGATGATTAACTGGAGTCTGACCATTTAAAAAACAACAACAACGATGATCTAAAAAACCCACACAAGTTTTTGTGAACCTATAACAGGGATGTCAAAACAATCCTCATTTGCACTGATTCAAGAAAATGATTAAGAAAAACTGTAGTGTGCATGCCAGGCCAGTAGGTGGCGAAGTCACTTTATAAAGAAGTCATATTTACTTGTGTACATTAATACACCATTTTTATTTTGCTTTTAGAGTGCTCATTCATGACTATCCACTTTTTAAGTTTTGACGTATTGAATACTTTTTCCAGGTTTTTTAGTCCTATTACACATTAAAGTGAATTTTATATAAATGTAAAAATGGTGTACACGTCAGTCTCTGGACTCATCATAGACATCAATATTGTAACAATTTATAAAAAATTAATCACTTTCTGGCCGTCTGATATTAGGCTATACATATTATATATTGGATCATGATTTTTTAAAATTATTACAGGGCTCGAAATTAACCTTTTTGCTTGGTAGCACTGGTGCTCCTAACTTTAAAAATTTAGGCGCATCAGCCAAAATTTAGTCGCACCCACCAATTATGAGCACCGTTACTACAGGTTTCATACAAACATATTGGTTGTATGTGAAATCAACACTAATCAAACTAACAAGCAAAAATATATATATAACGTTATATGCAAGCGTGAGGAAAATATGTCTCAACAATATACCGTTATCACAAGAAAATAGATTTTTATAACAAGTGACCAAAGCATACACGGAGCACTCACCGGCCCTGCACGCACTGCTTGAATTAACGTGTTAACGGTATAACTAGTAAGATGTGTCATTATTTGTAACTGTAGATGCCATGGTTTCTAAAACAAAATCTGTCAAGTGTTATGTTATCTTCATTCTCATCTTCAGCGCTTTACAATTTTTCGCGGTAGTAGCTCTCTCTGTCATCCCAAGCCAGAAGGCGCTGAGTGATTGACAGCTGATATTAACCAATCATTCGCGTTCAGTGCTAGAGCAGTGGTGGGCCAATAAGAAGAGCGCGAAGGCGGGGCAAGCATTACGGACTTGGATTTGTTTACTGCAGCAAGTTGACATGACAACTGTTTTAAACCATTCCCGAGCGCTGCGTTTCACGTTCCAAGTGCAGACAAAGAGCTTAGATATGCATTCTGCGTAAATGTCTCCCGAATCCTGAATGTGCTGAACATTTTGCAGTAAAAATTGGTCGCACACTACAATTTTAAACACTCGCAGAAATGCTCCCAAATATATTTCAAGGTCGCATAGATAAAATTTCGGGCGCATATGCGACCAAAATGGTCGCAATTTCGAGCCCTGTATTATATCGCTTTGTAAACGTTTATTATTACCATTAGTTGAGTCTATACAGTTTGATTGATAGACACTAGCAGGTTACCATTGTCATAAAGTTTTTTTTACACTGAGATACTAATGCTATAATTTTCCCAGAATAGTACTTTTATAGGTCATTTTCAAAGGTTGCGGTTTCAAGTTTTCTTTTTTGTTTTTGGTTGTTTGTTTTTGAAAATAAGCTTGATTTGGTTCAATATCCTAATGTGTGTTAAAATGTGATAAAAATAAGAGTTTATTATTATTAATATTATTTAAAAAGATTTAACACTTTTTAAAGACTTATAATTTTTTGTAAAATTAAAAATTTAGCAAAATTAAAAAACGGCATAAATTATTATTTGCTTGGTGCAGTTATGGCATGCTAATTTTCACTTTTTAAATTATAAAATTTTCAAATCACAGGTAGTTTTTAAAGCTTCTCTGTTATTCTCAACAGCTTTTTAAAAATTGTTTCTAAAAACAATTAAAACTGGCATTGCAATATTTTATGATTTTAAAATAAAAGTCACATCGTGAATAATGTTGAGCCTGGATTATACTTTATCATTTCGCAAGTGTTTTTGGAAACCTGTGACCATTTGAGGGTTTTAAAAGCATTCAGGCCTAAGAAATTTTACCATTTGTAACTTTAACAAATTAATAATGTTTAAATTAATAAATTAAAAATGTTTAGAACGTTTATAAAATGTAGACTATGCAGTATTATTTTACATTTGATTATTTAATTTCTGTATACCTAAATAAAGTTTGTTCCTAAATAAAATTCAAGTTATTGTATAACGATGGTTTCTGTAGACATTCGAAAAACAAAAACAAAAATTAGATTAAAGGCGCTAATAACTTTGTCCTTAAAATGTTTTTTTTTTTTCATTAAAAACTGCTTTTATTCTAGCCGAAATAAAACAAAAATTTCCACATTGAACGATAACAATATATATGTTGATGTAAGTTGTTAATGCTTCCAGATTTAAAAGAGTACCCAACAATGGCTAAAGCTAAAAAATAAAGATGAGAAGGTCCATTAAATGGCATAACATATTTTTGGCCAATAAAATTTCAGTGGCCAAAAATTGGATACACCTTGAATGAATCGAATTCGAAAATTTGGAACATGTTGAATCTCTACATCTCTGGCCGAATAACTGATAGCAACCCTTTTAAATTGCCATTGTTGCACAATTCTGCTGTGTGATTGGCTTTTAGATTAATATTGAACTGGCGGGCGGGCGGGCGCTGCCATTTGAATCTTTTTGGCACGAGACTTCCGGTCTCATTCACTTCCATTCATTTTTAGACATTAAAAACTGCTCGTTTCTCTGTTTGATGTTGCAAACTGATATTTCCTTGTTATATTATTCTACTTGGTCTGTATAGTCATGCAAACATTTGTTTGTAGAGCAAGTAGTTTGACCGTTTTTTGCCGTTTATTATTCCTTGTCATTTCTCCCATAGGCGACTAAAACGGAAGTTCTAAGACAATCGCGAAAACAGGCGCACTTCCGCATTTTAGAATAAGGTCAATAGAGTAAAAACGTCCAGAGCTTATCTATTATCATTTCTGTAATGCGAAGACCATGGATCGATTTACTGGATCCAGTTTTAAAAGTGGAATAATCTGGATAAAATTGGGAATGTGATATGATTAAGATAATTTTAGATGATTAATTAAAAAGTGCTTTGTACACCCAATCAGACAACACAATGAAAGTTTGCTTTTTCAGGTCATTGTTGTGACTTCAACTTCAGTTGAAAACATAGTTGTGTAAAGTTACTATTTCCAAATATTTTGGAATGGATTTGTTCCATAAATGTGTTGAATGTTCATTTAAAGTCGAAGTTTACTATTAGTGTAGTCAGCGATAAAACCCAACCAATCCACCCTACGACATTGGCTCAACTAATAGTGCCAGTCTGGAGACAGGAACTTCCAGGCTATGTATTTTAGGTTCTGTGTTATTTTATATATATAAACTTTATATATATATAAATTTTATATATATATACACACACACACACACACACACACACACACACACACACATACTGTATATACATGCTTGCACTTCTTGAAATGCTAAATAGCCATAGACCTAAGGCATCTGGCGATACCTGAATCCGTCAGGTCATGAAATACATAAAACAAACTGTCAAACAAGTGATTTGCGGTGTGAAACAATCTTTCATGTAAACCCTCTGTTAACCCTGCATTAGATTTCGTGTCTCGGAGCACCGTAGGTGTCAAAACCTCTTGATCCACCACAGCTGAAGCTCTTGAATAATACATACAGTTTAGTTAGGCAGCTTGGAATGGGGCGTCCCATAGAGAATACTCGCAAGAGCCAGATAGGTTTTCCTGTGATCAGACATTGAGTAGAGACCCAATACCGGCAGACAGTGAAAGTATCTACACACACACACGCACACGCACAGACAGACAGTAGAGGCTCATCGATTGTAATCAGTAACAGTGATGAGCGAGCTGATTGGTTGGTTTTAAGGAATGATCCTGCCAATGCCACGCCATTGATTTAAATCCCAATTTAACGGCGACCCTCTAAGTGCATTGTCTTGCGAGCACCGTTACGCATCATTCCCTGTTAGCCTTCATTAATTTCCACAGTAATCCTAATTAAGTTTTTATAGCATTCCTAATGAACATTCTCAGATTTATTGTTCCTCCTTTTCTTGTTAAAGATCAGCCAGACAATGGCCGATTTGCCTGTTGGGAAATCGGGAGGTTGTTGCACGCTGTGGTTTGTAGTCTGAATGGTGCCGCATAGAGCCGTTGGCTAAAGCACGCGTTTGAGAGACCATATGGCCAACTTTGTAATTGTCCCAGTGCCAGATGAATGAGGGCTTCCTCTCAGATCTGGTTTTGGAGACAAACGCACCTCCAAACACCCTCATCAACACTTATTGCTCACAGCATCCTGCTGCTTCATGGGGGAAGGTTGCACGTCTTTGCGAGTTTGCTAGTTGTCTCGCGCTGAGTGAAGTGTTGTTGCTGAATGTACACATGTGGGGAAAATATGTGAAAACACTAGGGCTGAATATAGATTATAATGAAGAACATGTATTTTTTTCTTTAATAAAGCTTGATTTGGGAAAATATCCATTTATTTTTTTTAATTTTTAGTAATAATAATAATGACAGCTTTTGTTATCTTTTATTGTAACATTTGTGAATGTAGTATTTAAGAAAAATGCTATAAATATAACTTAAGTTTACGATGCAATTATAGCCCTCTTAATTTTCGCCTCAGGAATACTTCTTCTTTATATTATTGTTCCCTGCATGCAATTTGTACTCATTATAAATTTGTAGGACCTGGTAATTTCTTTAATGTGAAAAATGTGGAAACACACAATCATGGAATTAATAGTTAAAGGTAGGGCTGCAGGATATTGGAAAAAACTGACATTGTTGCGAGATGACTATTTTGGATTGAAGTCATAATGTTACATCGATTGGGATGATTTTGTGCATGACTACATCTGCATAAAATATACAAAATAAAATAAACAAATTAAAGCACCGATTGCATGTTCTTCCCGTGTAGGCATAGGTTTCCTCTGGGTGCTCCGTTTTTTTTTCCACAGTCTAAAGACGTGCATCAAAGGTGACTTGAATAAGCTAAATTGGCCATAGTGTATGTGTGTAAATGCGAGAGTGTATGTGTGTTTCCCAGTGCTGGGTTGCAGCTAGAAGGGCATTTGCTGTGTATTGCTGGATAAGTTGGTGGTTCATTCCACTGTGGAGACCCCAGATTAATAAAGGGACTGAGCTGAAGGAAAATTAATAAATAAAGCAAAGATGAGGACAATAGAACAAAGATAAAAATGAAGTAAACAGTGTTTTGATGGTGTCGAACAGTATTCAGGTACAGAAATTCAATTATCAGATCTAAAATCGCACTGTAGTCTTCATTGTATAATTAATTCATAACACAATTCATATTTTTTAAGTGGCAAGCTTAATTTTAAAGTCAAACTTTCATTTCAAGAGTTCACACTTAGTTGTGCTTAATGCTATTAGCAGGTTTGGCATGCTGTCCCGGGAGAGAACCCTGAGCTCGGAGATAATTGAGCCCATGGCTCCCGCCTGGTCAATAAGCATACTGTATGAGAGAGTCCGAGATCTGGTAGGTCTCGAGAGCTCCCCTTGGAAAAAGGAGAAAAAGGAGGAGATTTGGTCGAACTGAGAATTCTACCAACATGAAGATATGGTAGTAGGCCGAAATCGGTTTGTTTATTGTAAACTTGAATCAGTCTGATTGGATTAATGCGGATTTTGGACGAGAGGCCAGCCATGATCAATCGTAACACATACTCTCGAAATTAGTGTGTAAAACTTCACTTTTTGTACTCAAATGGTTTAAATTTCCTAAAAATCTTATAGGCATGGGCCCTAAAAACACATTCAAATAAAAATATTTCATACTATTTGATTAAAGTTGCCATGAACTGTGGTTCCTGGTTAATTATAATCTCAGTTTGACTTTGCAGGTCTTGCGATGTGACTTGCAGATTTGCACATCGAGATATCGATGCTAAAACGATATATTGTGCAGCTCCAGTAATTGGGTATTTATCTGTGTAAAACAGAATGCTATGGAATTTGACAAATTTTAGAAGAGCAAATCTAAAGTATATATTGAATGACAGTTGTAAAAGACTGAATATGATTAGTTGTTACTACTTGTTCTTTCATTTTTTAAAACATTTTAAGAAAAGACAAAAACAAATTCACTCAAACAATGAAAACACCAGATTGTGAACTGTTCGTGTGCAAAAGACAGTTCATTGCTTCACTCACGCACTGCAAATATAGTTATTGATAAGCTTATTATTCCCAATTTGTAACCTTTTGTCCCATTGTGTTGATGGAGAGGGTTGGGCGATGTCTTTAACACAGAGATTGTAATTTTAAATTCAATGTAACCTTGTTTGTTTGTTTTTTGCAGGAATTAAATTAACTGGAATTAAATGTTTAATTTAAATGTTGTTTTTAAAAATGTAAATATTGTCACTCGACGGATAGAGGACTATGCAGAAGTAATCGGTGAGAAAATCAAGGCAAAAACTAGTGTAATTTAGTTAATGTAAAGCTATGTTTTATAGTCTGTTTTTAAGTATTATTAAATAAGTTAGGAAATTACCTATGGCAGCTATATTACCTTTTGCCCACTAGCCTCAATCAAGTTAGTTTGGACACCCCTACTCTAGACATTTTTTTACTCTATATGATATTAAGATTAGAGATTTACTGAATTTTTGGGCACTGAAAATTTATTGGCCGAGAATATATTATATGCCATTTTATGGGCCCTCTGATTTTTTTGGCTTCAGTCATTGTTGGGGTACTTCTTTTAAATCTGGAAGCGTAAACAACTTATATGGAAATATATATCGTTATCGTTCAATATGGAAAATGATTTTTGAGATCTCATTTTTGCCATATCATTCAGCCCTAATTTAATTCATATAGCAGTTGGTAATTTTGGAGCTTGTTGTTTTGTCACAGCACCCCAGTATGACCAAAATCTTAAGTAAATTGAGATGTATTTAGAGTGCAAATGATTTTTTTTCCTGCACAATTATGTAAAATTATTTCGGTTCATTCATCCCTCAGCACACTGAGATAATCTTCAATTTGTTGCACGGAATAAAAGGATTTCTTGTTTTCCCTCTCTCCTGGCTGGAGATTATCACAAGATTTATATATATATATATATATTTTTTTTTTTTTTTTTTTTTTATTGCTTCAGGTGGTTCCATCAGCTCCAGTTATGGGCGATACTGACTACTCTGACCCATTCGATGTTCGTTTGGACCCGCGTCCAGAATCCGCCCAGGGCCAGATCACTCCTGAGAACAACGGCTACATGGAGCCCTACGAGGCCCAGAAAGTGATAACAGGTCAGTTCTGCTGCTTTTCTTTTGCAGTGTATTTCCATGCCCCAGGGGGAAGACTGCTGTGCCCTTTGAGTCGACTGGAGAGAATGAAGTATGAGTTTTATGAGTGTGTCTTTTTCAGACGCTGTCAGTCATAGAGTGACTCATTGCTGATTCTTTCCTAGAGTCACACAGATTACAGCTTTGCGCTCTGGAAATCTGCTCTATTGTTTTATTTCTTCCAAACATTTTACCTTTGCTTAAATCAGTTGCTGGTTTTGAAGATACAATCGGCAATTCAAAACCTAGACTGCATTTTAGGACATTTTTTGTTACATACCACTAGTGAAATCTTAAAGGGATAGTTCACCCAAAAATAAACATTTAGCTCACACCTTTGTAAATTTCTGTGTTTCTGTAGAGCACAAATCAAAATATTTTGAAGAATGTTGGTAACCGGTAGTCATTGATTTCCATAGTAGAAAAAAAATTGCAGTAGATGGCTATCAGGTAGTAATATCCTCCAAAGTTTCTTGTTTTAACAGTGCTATCAAGTTTAAATGAATCACAAAAATGTGTAACATTTCAGCTACTGTAAATAACAAAATAAAATCATCATACACCCAGCGCAATGTGGCGCAAGGCGTGGCGCAATAGTCTTTTGGTACTTTTAGCTCGGCGCAAGGGTCATTTTGAGGTGTTGCGCCACATTGTTTAAATGGCAAATGCATTTGCGCTCAAATGTGCGCCCATAGGCGTTCTGGTCTAAAAAAGCAGGCATGTTTTGGCGCGTTGCTATTTTGAGAAACTGTAAATAGTCTGATCTTTAGACCAGAACAAAGTCGGTCTATTGTCTGGCGCAAAGTGCGCCTGGCTTACACACTACACACAAGATGCAGAGCAATACGCAAATATCTTTTACATATGAAAAATATATAATATCTTTAGGAGATATATATATATATTTAAAAAATGGATTTATACAGAATATAAATATAAATGATTAAAATATTACAAAACATATTAATTTCTAGCCTACACTGGCTTACTTAACCACTGCCTTACTTTGTTCATCTTGGCAGGCTTTTTCAGTTCATTCAATTTGCTTTTGTATAATTTTATTATTATTAGCAGTATTATTTATTATATCCAAATTTATATTTGTTTTATTAAAAACAAGCTTAGATTTGTTTACCTGTCAAATTTTAGACCATATGGGGCATGGCAGGTGTATTTGGAAATAACTCAGTATTTTGACCACACTTGGTTATTATTGTTCATTTATTCGTTTGCTAGAAATTAAAACTGAATTTAGAAATAGTTTTGAAACAAATCTTTGCGCTTAACAAACGAAATTAATTATTTATAGGCTAATTGATGTCTGTGCGTAAAGGTTTCCCTATCCACAAAAGCAAAATCGAAAGTGAACTTACTTTACGTCAAAATGCGCTTATGGCTCTTAAATGGAATGGGAGATGAGACTCTAATTGGTTTATTCTCAAAACACACCTATAACTCATTAAGAAAATAAACTAAACCCTTTTAGACTATGAGCCATGGCGCAAAGCGGATTTTCCCGTCCTTAAATTAGCAAAAATGCGTTCCGACACGCCCTGAAAGCGTTTGCGCCCTGCGTTTTGCACTCTGCGCACGGACCGTCAAAATAGAGCCCTATGACTGAAAGCTACTTTAAAGAAAAACACAAGATATTCCTCAGGGAGTTCATGGCAAATATATTTTCCAAGCCAACAAATCAACATCATGACTCAACTTTGATGGTCATGTTTCTGCAATTCAATGGATTGTTGGATGACTTCAACTGTAAATGATATATTTGATGCTGCTTTACTGGGATAGCTAATTTAAAATGGAAAATTATGTCGTTATTTACCTAACCCCCATTTGTTCCACATCAATCCGTCCGTTTGCCATTCATCCATCCATCCATCCATCCATCCTTTCATCCATCTATCCATCCGAGTGTCCTTCCATCCATCCATCCATCCATCCATCCATCTATCCGTCCATCCATCCAAGTGTCCTTCCATCCATCCTTTGAGTGTCTTTCCATCCATCTGAGTGTCCATCTATTCATCCATCCAAGTGTCCGTCCATCCATCCGTGTCCATCTATCCATTTGAGTGTCCTTCCATTCTAGTGTCTATCCTTCCATCCATCCAGCATCTATCCTTCCATCCATCCATCTGATTGTCCTTCCATCCATCCGAGAATCCTTTCATCCATTTGAGCGTCCGTCCTTCCATCCACCCATCCATCCGAGTGTCCATCCATCCTCCAAACTATTAATTTATCCATCAGATTTTTTATGCTTTTCTATTTATCTGTCTAAGCATTTGTGTGGCCATCCATCCAGTATACTACACTGTGTAAGCTTTTTTTTCATTGTGATATCTTCATCTTAAAATTGTCCTTATGGATCCTCATTTCTGTACCTCTTGTCCCAAAATCATCTTGGGCCATTAGAAATATCCTTGTGCTTTATGAAGTTATTTTAGGCAACAGAAACTGTATCCTGTATCTAATCCTGTATCAAGTATCTATCAAACATCAAGTACAGTGTCTTGATTTATTTCTTCGAGATGCACAGTTGTGTTTTCATCTTTCTCTATAAATGTAAATCAAGCATTCAGGAAAAAATGTATTTGGCACCATTAACAGACAAAAAGACATGAATATAAATGTTGTTATAATCATTTGGGTATAAAATATGTACGCACGGCAAAAACAAAAAATGGAAATCAGCTCAATTAGCATCTTAGTTATATTTTTACAATCAACAGACTGCAGAATAACTCGTCATGTTTTGAAACAGAGCTGGAATACTATGCATCCCTTAAAATATTTCTGGGAATAGTGGCCCATTTTCTCTCCGCAGGACCCCAGCATCCACTTTAATTTTTCCTCAGACGCTCTTGCCTTCAAGGCAGCCTCATTTAATTTTCCATCCATCTCTACAGGTTAATCTCTCCTCTCATTCTCCATCAGCTCTCAGGTACGGGGGAATCTAGCAGCCCCTCTCTGGCGCGTCACAAACACTTACCATCAACACACACACACACACACGCACACACACACACGCACACACACACTTGTTCCCATCGCTCTCTCTCTCTGCTCTCTCGCTCCTCCACCTCGGGCTCCGTCCCTCAGGGCCTCCTCTTTGTCGCTATGGAGACGACGGAGGAGCCCAATAGGAGCAGGATGTGTGAAGGTTAAAGTTTGTCTTTCTCTTGTTTCTTCTACGTCTTGCATTTTTTCCTTTCTTGCTGGAGATTCGTTTTTGTCAGTTTTTCGTTTCATGTTTGATGTGTTCTATGTGTGATTGTTGTTTTTATTTCTTTATATTTTTTACATTTCAGGTCAGTTTGCGAACAAATTCAGAATACCGATATGAATTAAACTGTGCAGTTTGGTGTAAGCAGAGATTTATGAGAATTCATTTTAAGAAAACAGCCTTTAAAACTGCACTTAATTAATGACGTCTTGTCTAAACTACCTATTTAAAATTACCATAATCAACACAATTATTGATGTTTTTTTGGGACAACTTATGTTCAATCCACTTAAATTTGTAAAAACTAATAAGTTATTTCCTTTATTGTCTCAGCACAAATACATTTTTGTGGAACCCAGCATTTTTTAAGTGTATATTTAGTAGTAGGTGCAGTAGGTGATCTGCCTAAATGCTAACCTGTTAGCATCAGAGATGAGAGGCTCGAGTCACATGACTTGACTCGAGTCAGATTTAAGTCACAAAATTTAGGACTTGAGACTTGCTTGACAAATATCCAAAAAAAGACTCGACTTGACTTGGACTTGACTGTCATGACTTGAGACTTTACTTGGAAGAATTAAGTTCTTAAGGTTAAGCAATAAAATTAAGTTCTTAAATTAAGCAAAACACGAAACCATTTCAGACCATGGATCTCAAAATATATATATAACGTATGTGTGAAATGGGCTATATATATTATCTGGAAAATATTTTATTGGATTTATTGAAATGTACAAAATGTCTTCGAGGAAGATGATCTTTACTTTTAATATAATAATGTTTTTTGCAATAAAAGAAAAAATGATCATTTTGATTCAATATTTTTTTCCTCCCAAAAATGTACCTGTGCACTTTAAGATTTTGTCATTTAGGGTCTATATATAAATAAATAATTAGATTGACTTGAAAGTGACTTGCTAGACAAAGCAACGACTTGAGGTGACTTGTAATAAGCAGTGACTTGACTTGACTGACAAAAATCTGACAAAAAATGACTTGACTTGACTTGCTTGAGACTTGAAGGTTATGACTTAAGACTTGCTGGAGACTTCAGGGGTTTTTCAGTGGCTGAACATCATTTCCCTGCAAATAACCCATTCGCAACACAACAAAATCTACATCAGCTTTGCATGACTAATAGTTTTAATGTAGCTTGCCAGTCTAAAAGAAGTACTTAAGCCGTAGTGGTATCCTTCATTTTGCGTGCAAAACTAACTCTAATATTGATTTAGGATTTTAAAAGGTTTTGATTGAGCATTTGTTTTTAGCCCTGCCACAGTGACTGTGGCCCGTAAGAACATGCATCGGCGAATCTGCATGAATGGGTGTGCAGTTGCTGACAATGGGAATTATTAGCCCGGCCCAGCAATAACATGTTTGGATGTAGCAGTTTTGTTTTTTAAAAATCATTTCCTCAATTGTGGGCTGACCAGTAGCTTATAGATATGGAGAGACTGTTGCCCTAAAAAAATTAATAAGATAGTCGTATTAAACCCAAACATAATTGAAATGGTATAACACTGGGGTTTCCAAACTTTTCAGCCTGTGACCCCTACAATAGCAAAGCCAGTGACTCTCGTTTCAAATTCCTCTTAGGTGGTTATAAGTATCCCACAATAGGCCTATATAAACACGAGCGTATTGACAACACAAAAAAGTGCAACAGTCTTTCAATCATATCATGTTTATAGTCATTTATTAATTTGTGTCATTAAATATTAACCTCCGC